AAATCTGTGCCACCACCCAGCCATGCCTCCGCGGCAGTGCTAGTCCTGTATATGTTGGAACAGTGGGCTGATGGATTCACCGTAGTGACTGCGCCGGATGGCCTCAGCCAGGAGAAAAGACAGGTCGAGTACGGTGAGCTTGGGCGCGTTTCTGGCCGCCTCCTCACTGATGGGGTAGCTGTTTGTGACGACGATAGCATCAATGCACTCGCACTTTTGCATTTGCTGGAGGGCATCACCGCCAAAGACGCCATGAGTCGCAATGCAGTAAACCTTCTTGGCGAAGCCCCGCTTCACAACGGTCTCTGCGGCAGCGATCCATGATCCAGATTTGTCAATCATATCGTCGATGATGAGCACTGTACGGTTCCGTACGTCGCCGACGAGCGTGATCATGTGCTCAATCTTGGGATCCTTGAGCTTGTCTTCCTCCTCGTCCGAGCTCTCTTCTGCGTCGCCGGACCCGCCGAGCGCGTGCCCATCCGGTGAGAAGTAGGATGATGCCTGGGACTGAGCCATGGGATCCTCATCAGGGATGGTTGTGTCTGCGGCCGACGTAGCTGGAGACGGGAAGTCATCAGGCACGATGTGGCCCTGTACGAGACGTCCGTGTGTGACTTCTCGGGCTCGTTGGTCATTATAATCATTGCCCTCCGTCTGCGCCTCGGCGGGCACGTCGGCGTGATCCTCAACGGCAACGGACGACGATGAGGGGCTCGCATCCCCCGCTTGGCCGTTGGTCTGCACTTGCAAACCGTTGGCGCGCTGTGAAGATCCCTGCTCGGACGCTTGAAGGCGGCTGCGGCGTATCCGGGCGGCCTGCGGAGTCGGCGTCCGCGGCTCGGCGAAGCTGTTTCTCGCGATCCGGATTGCTGCCGGCTCCAATGGTTCGAGCCCCTCCAGCTGGTTCAAGATCATGCTGTGCGTCATGCCGGCACCGCCTCTCTTCCGGTCGGTTGTGACCATGCCGAAGTTCAGCTTCAAGGCGTCGGCGAGGGACGTCACTCGTTTCGTACCACCGGCATTCTTTGATACGACAACAGCTTCCTTCCAGTTGGGCACGTTGTGACGGATCCAGCGGGCGATGAGCGGCTCGGCATGGAGGTTATCAACAGGGCACTTGAAGAAGCCCTGCATCTGGGAGGCGTGCAGATCGACCGTAATTACGTGTTTGACGCCGGCAACGCCAAGAAGGTTGGACAGCATTCTGGCGGTGATGGCACCCCTGTGCGACTTCTTTTTTGACTGACGGCTGTACGGGAAGTAGGGCAGCACGGCTGGACAAGTCGCGGTCAGCGCACGGGCGAGGGGACAGGCTAGTGCAGGGGGATAAGACTGACCAGTTATCTTGGTGGCGGAGCCGCCTTTGCAGGCCGAGATCATGATGAGCAGCTCCATGATGGTGTCGTTGATGGTGGGACTGCCGGACTGGATGATAAAGACATCCTTCTCTCGGACACTGGTGAGGATCTTAACGCTTGTCTCGCCCTGCAGAGAAGAGAAGATGGTGAGCCAGGTCACTTTGCAACAGAGGTCGGCCGCGGTCGCAGACGCAGTCGCAGCGATGGCAGACGCAGGGCCGACTGGCACCCACATTAGAGAACTGCGAGAGCTCCGCCTCTGCAGGCGGCATGCCCAGACTCTCACATATCTTGCTTGTGAGAGCTGGGCAGGATGAGCCCGCGAAGATCAGAGTGTTCCGCATCTTGTTGACAAGTGGCTGGAGGAGAAAGGAAAAGGTGCGCGAGGTTGGGAGGTAAAATACTGTCGGTCTGGAGGGTCCTCAGCTGGATTTTAGGCGGAGCTCGACAGTGGAAGAGATTTAGTGCGGGGCTGTCTTTGATCTGACCCCTGTTACACAGTCGCCGCACCTGCAACCTGCCAGCCTGCTCAGGTTTAGCAGACTGTTTGTTACCTGGGAAGGCACCACCACCTAGGTAGGTACATAGACACAGGCTTCCAGGCCCAGAGCGAGCTCTGCTGAAGAAAAATCATGCATGACTCGACTACTCACTGCACACATCATGAACATTGAATAGGAGAGCGTCCGTCACGTTCGCGCTAAAACTGAGTGATGAGATCAATGTCCAGACTGGATCGATGGGAGAAGGAGGCAGACTACGAGTCACAGGCAGGCACGGCAGGTGCCTGTGTGTGACGGGGTCTGTAATTTGTGCGCCTTTCGAGCATCTCCAAGTGGATGTCTATATGCTTTTTTTATTGTTTACGGTGCTTCGAGACTCGTCTCTCGGACGCATCAAGAGCTTGGGCCTAATGCGTCGAACGGGTTCCCAGACAGCGGTGGCCTGGCCTTTTGCTGCACTAGCCTCCCCGGCCGTCTCCTCCTCCCAGCTGGTCCTCCAGTCCTACTTGGCCACAGAGGGGATACAGCTGTCCCTTTGGACGAGGCAGCCCGTGATAGGCCGGCGATATCGAACACGTCTCCCAGGTCGCCAGCGTCCTCCAGCCGCGAGAACAGAGCCGCAATATCTGTGAAGCCCGGGAAGCCCTCGATGGACGGCAGTGTGGAAAGACAGTTCAGCATCTCGGCCACCGGCAGCTGCGGCCAGGCTGTTCCAACTAAAGGCCATCCCTGGCACTTGAGCACCTGGTGCAGTATGCGCAACGAGTAGATTGTCCCCTGTATCTGTGCCGTCAAGTGGACGGTATTCCAATTCCCTTGGTCCAGCCTGCCTCTGGACTTGATCGCCTTTTGCAGGACCATTCTGGCCAGTGACTCCTTGCCCTGTTCTGAAGCATGCGTGATTTCCTGCTTTAAGCAGAACATTGCCCATCGCAGATGTGGGAGTTCAGCCTTGGTGTTGGTAAGCGTTCTGCACGAGCTCACCAGCCTGTGGGCTGTCTCGGTCATCTCACCCCCCGGTAGCAACTCGATAGCTTGTCCATTGGATTTGCGTGACATTGTCCGTCGATATTCCGTAACCGCCAACGAAGGGGACAGGGTTTTCGCACAGAGACTGTACGCCAGCTGCCGTATCCACGTGCTCGGCCCCCATGCACTCTCATGATCCCATCGGTCAAGAAGCATAGGGAGATAGAATGTAGTTCCTGGTGGATTTGGCACTTCTTCGGGGCCTGCGCTGCCGATCTCCGCATTGCTTGTCCAGCTCAGTATAAACTCTGACACCCTGGGGTCCAAGAACCTCAAGGAATCCGGTATTGTCAGGCTGGACTCTGAACCTTTGACGTACTCCGAAATGAAGTCCGCGTACTCGGCAGGAGCTGCGTTGGCCGCATGTTTCTTTTTGGACTGCGTTGCCCAGTACGCAATCTTCTGGTACGGGTCCCTCTTGATCTCAAACGCGAGGGACAAGATGCCCTGCTGCCCGGGCTCGAGGGACAACCTCTCGCATATAGCACGTTGGCTGTACGTTAGCACTGGCGGCAGTTCGGACTCTGCTGCTGTGAGCTCTATGTCGTTGAAGAACACGACGCTTCCATCCTGCCCAAGATCATACAGTAGAAGGTCCGAGTCCGAGGTGAGAAGAGCTCCGCCTTCACGACTAACGTGGTCCGCGCAAAAGCAGTCCGCCTCTCCGGGGACGAGATGAATGAGGTGTTTGTACCGCTCAGATGTCCTCAGAGCCTCCAGAATTGCCGGGACTGTGAATGCCGGGACGGGTATTCGAGGATACGCTTGATTAGGTGATGATCCGGTATCGCCATGGCGCGGTATGCCGGATTTTGTGGACAAGAAATACGCGTTCGCCGCAGTTGAGCTCTCGACCAGCCGTTGGAGCCGCACATGGCTCTTGGACGCCGGTAGATAGCCGTCAAAATAGATTGCCGCCCTAGAAGCCCATCAGCAACTACGCTCAAGACATTGAGGGGATGTGCCATAATTTCATACACTTGACTCCGACGCGACTGCAAGTTGTCAAGCCATCGAATTGCTGCCGAACCGAGGACAGAATACGGTGGGTCCTCGAGTGCAGTCGAGACCTGGCTCTCCAAGCGACAAGCAAAAAAGATGTGGTATGCGAAAGCTGGGCCGTCAATGACCACGCTATCGGCCAACCTTGACCGCGCAGCAAAGGGCCTCAGTGCTGCCGCAAGACCGCGAATCCCCATGCTTCAATGTTCAAATGTTCAGGCGTCGAATCACCATCAGGGCAGGTTGCAGTGACTCGGGATGGAGTAGTCCGATGGCCTAATTTCTCTAAATCCTCGTGAAACGAAAGCCGATGGTTGGTGGCGTTGGTGGATTGCCTTCTGGCGGGTTGCAGTCTGCTCGTTCAGCTCGCGCTGCCCAGACCAGCGTTTTGGTTATGGGAAAGCTCAAAATTTGGAAAAGTTTCAGCAGTAGTATAGATCAAATTGATGCTGGTCACGCATCACAAATGCAATGCGCTGATTATGAAAAACGGTTGATATTGTCCAGAATCTTGGGTGCACGGACACCATCCGAGCAGTAGTCCCCCCAACCCGCCGGGCCTGGAGGTCACAAACCGTTGCGAGCGAGCGAGCACCCCCCCACAAAGATAGAGATGGGCAAACTCTGGAAAATTCATGTGTACTATTTTATGCCTCTGGAAAGATATCACATACACTATTTCAAGAGCCCGGCCAATTTCAAGAAATACAAATTGTTACTGCAGAGCCCTGCCAGTGTGGTTGGCTCACCTTCAACCAGGTCTTCCAAGAGGTCTTCCCACAGGAGATTGTCCTGCAGTAGGTCATCTTATAGGGACTTGATTCTAAAGCAGATTGGGGAGTGGGTACTATCAACTAGACTCTCAACCTGCCGCCATGGAAGAAATTTGTCGTAATCATTAGCCATTGGCTACGATGCCTTCCTCAGAAGAACAAAAGAGAGGTGGAAACGAGTGGGCAACAACAAACACATGCTTTTTAAGCCGCGTGCTGACTTGGACACGCCAACAGAAACAAGACAGGTTCCCTGGCTTAGACATGCTAATAAAAAAAAAAGAGTTAGGTCTCTAACTTAAATATAGTGACAGTTAAAATAAAAATTAGGTAGGTCCTACCCGGGTTCGAACCGGGGCTCCGGGAAGTCAAGAGCGCGCCTTAATCAAAATCCCATGTCCTAACCTCTAGACTATAGGACCTCAGTAGGCCCAAAGGGCTATTTGTCTATACTATGTAGATTTTTTGAGGAGGTGTCAATCCACTCGTCAAATTTAAGATATCTCACCCAAGTGGCATGTTGCTCATTTGGCTGTGCAAGAACTGAAGCGTACACGCCTGGAGAATTCATTTGAGGCAGTAATTATTACATCCAAGGCCCACAAGATGTCGGAATCTAAGGGCAAAGTACCAATGGCTCACTTGTCCACGTGAGCCTCATGTGCAGTCTGGTCTAAACCGTTGAACGGGAGTATGGGATGGAGATATTGCAAGTTTCTACGATTGACAATCCAAGTAGTTCTACGAAAAGCCAAACTTGGCGGTGGGATGAGAGGGAAGGCTTGCATGTGGTCAGGACAAAATGTGCAGGCCGTGCTGCTCGTTCAAGCCACTGAAACAAGATCTTATTCCCAGCCGGCCACATCACAATATATGCATGGTCTCGTCGGTTCTACTGAGTGGACTGCGCACTTGAGTAAACTTCAACCTGACCACATCGAGTCAGGCCAAGGTTTATATACCATTGCTACGAGCCGATCACTAACGCTTTGGGGTGGGGTACAAATTCATCGACATATTGGGTTCTAGGTATGAAATCTAGTTGCAGACCAAGTCGCAATTGATGCCCGGGATTTTAGCTCTACGCCAATTACTTCTCTCTTCCACCTGTCGCAAAAGCAAGCATGTCGCCTTATGACTTTATGACTTTCTGTGCATGGCCCCAGCTCCTCCCTGCTAGGTGTTAGTCCACGTGTCCACGCCGGTCTCACATGCAAGAAGAACGCACCTGGTGTGATGGAAAGATCAGGGTGTCCGCGATAACCACGTTCTCCCTTCGCGTGGCTGAGAAGACGATAACCTCGGCGATGTCGTCGGGCGTCAATGGGTCCACGCCACTGTCGGGATGCGTCAGTCTCGGCAGGCTTATCAGGTTCTGGGTACGGGGCCGCAAGTGACTTACGCGTAGACGGCGTCTGCCTTCGCCTTGTCGCCGTAGAAGCGGACGACAGAAAATTCCTGTCACCTGTGTCAGCGAGCGGACACACATACGAGGGCGCAATGTCCCCCCTCCCCCCTTCCCCAGGACCGAGAATACGTACCGTCTCGACCTGGCCAGGGTCGATCCCGATGATCCTGATCCTGGTCGCGAGCAGCTCCTTCCTCAGGGCGTCGGTGAAGCTCCGGACGGCGGCCTTGGTGGCGCAGTAGATGCTGCCGCCGGGGTAAGGCTCACGGCCCGCGATGGACCCGATGTTGATGATGTCTCCTGCGCCGCCGTTTGGCCTCTGCTTGAAGATGGGCAGGATGGCCTGTGTCATGTTGATGAGGCCCGTGACGTTCGTGTCGAACATGACTTTGACGTCCTCCTCGGCGATCTCAGGCGCCTTGGCCATACCCTTCACCAGACCTCTGTGCGCAATAGAGTCGTCAGCTTATTATCCTGTCCTTCTCTGTACGATTCCCCGAGTCGTCTCGAAAAGAGGTCATCCATACGCATTGTTCACCAGCACGTGAATGTCCTTGAACTCGGCAGGCAGGTTAGGCACGAATTGTCGCACCTCCTCGGGATTGCTGACGTCGAGCTTGACCGGCAGCACCTTGACGCCGTCACCGACCTCCTTCTTGATGTCGGCGGCGACCTGGTTGAGCGTGTCGACACGGCGGGCCGTGAGGATCAGCTTGAGGTTGTTCTGAGGGGCCGTCCGGGCGAACTCGAAGGCGGTGCTGCGGCCAATGCCGGAGCTGGCGCCGGTGATAACCACGGTCTTGCCCTCGAGGCGTTTGGCAGCAGCAGCGGAGGCCATGGCTCTTTTGTGGATTTCTGGGGCAAAGGGGAGTTTTGGTATAGGTTGACGACGCGACACGAGACGCTGGACAGATCGGATTGCTGTTTGTGCCTGGAGGAACATGTGTCTCTCAAATATTCAGGATTGTGACTGTAGGAGGATGAACTGTATCCGGGAGTGAAGAAAGCACAGTACGGAAACCCGCCTTGGAGGATTATTTTATTGGCACCGGCGACCCTGATCGGATACCAAGCACGCAATGCCAAGGTTCAGACATCAGGGGCAGATACCTGGGCACCGTTGAAGCTACTACCCCGCCATGATGCAAGTCAATGACTGCTCAGAAAGCAAAGGGCAGTGAGAGCTCCCAGAATTACCCCTCATCCCGCTGAGTCGGCAAGCTTTGGCGCGAGAATGCTCGCCGATTTCAGGAGCTCAGGGCGTCCCGTAGCAACCCCACGGCGGTAGTCCCGAGGTCGGTGGTCGAGCACGGCAACGGCATGCTAGATATCACTCGGCCCCACACGAGGTCATGGATCCATGTGCACGCAGTATTAAGAGCAACACTCCGTACACACGAAGTGCGGTGAGCATAACGAGCATCATCATATCACCCCCCCCCCCTTTTGATGACTCAGGGGCAGATCGTGCGAGGAACAGATATGCGAAAGCGATCAGCCTTCGAGGCCGTGCTCCATCTGAGTTCAGATGCGACAGAAGCTTGGCTGCTTTGACTTTCAACACGGCCAACCGTCAGCCTCGATCAAGGGCGTGTCCGGCGAGGTACCGTGGGCATCGTAGAAAGCTCGCGTACCTAACCAGACGGGCCGCAAGTCGACGGTCTAGAACACCCCGGAAGGGCGACCTGGATCTTGGGGCAACACAAGCGCTGCCCCAGTTCCACGAGGACAGGGCAGTGGCACGGCTCGTCTTGGGGGCCGCCTCGACGACTGGTGTGCCCGGAGCTGAGACGGCCGTGAGCCGGCTCCGCACGCGGCGGACGAGAAAAGGCACTTGGTTCATTACGGCCGTGTCGCGAGTGGACACACGGCAGTCGTTACGGCGGTTCCGGTATCAGGCACACGGGCTGTCGCAGCATGCGAGTTGCACGAGATCTCGTTGTCCCTTCCCGGGCCAGTGAGACGAGGTCCGCAGGTGAGTTCTGGTGTTTCTCAGCCAGGGTACTCCTGATGATTGGACCCGCTCCGGGTTTCTGTCCTGCCTCGTGTGGTGTTTCCTAGCGCACTCGCACTCGGACAACAGCTAGCGCACGTCGAAGGACGTTCTTGGAGCTGCTTCCACGAGCCTAGGCGCTTAGTTCCGTTGGTGCGTCAGCACCACAAGCGAAAGCGAGTGCGATTGGGAGACAGGCGAGGCTTCCGGCTTGCCCATGCCCACGACCGTGCAGGTTGGCACAAACACAACGCTTTGAGAAGGCGCCTTTCAGCAGCTTGTCTGGTCACAATCCCGAGCGAGGGAAGCCATCCTCGTGCCATGTGTTTGACATATGCAGGCGCCGAAAGAGACGAGGAAGGAAGCACTGGCTTCCGGTGTGCTACTGTGTAGTCAGGCTGTGAGTGGCTGCGAGGGGAGGGGGCTTACAGCTACCTTCCTGCACTTCAAATGGAAGGAGCAACAGGCCTCGCCTTAGCTTGCTCTCATCAGGCCTTGCCGACTCCAGTGAAAAACAAAGCGGCCCCAGTTGGTTGTCCCGGTCCCCGACTTGATCCAGAGATCGTGTCCTACATCAGCGCAGCCTCTTGCCTCTCCAAGACAGGCCTCGACAGCCGGCAGAGGTCTCACGCCCGAGGTTCCACGAAACAAAACTCTCCGGACCTGCTTCAAGACTGTCAACGGTGCAACCATCCTCCATACTGCCTGCAACTCACCGGAACCTTGCACTGCTCGCCGACAAATATCTTGAGCTCTTGTGCAGTACTGCCTTGGATTTTGATAACATGGCAGCCCCAGGTCCGTCTCCTGCAGATGAGGCCGACCCGGTCCCTCGACAGACAGATGACATCTTTTTTCGCGAGTCAAACATCCCGCCGTGGCGATTTGCATTCCTCTGTGTTGGGTCCGTTGCCTCCCAGAAACAAGATTCACAGTTGCCGTTGCTGACATGCTGCGCAGCCTCTGCCTTGGCCTGTTTCTTTCTATGATCGACGCATCAATCGTGGCAACCAGTCTGTACACCATCGGTGTAGAGTTTGACGACGTGGAACGAATCAATTGGGTTGCCCTGGCTTACACACTGGCCTTCCTCGGGTCTGCCGTGTTCTTTTCCCGGATCTCCGACGTCGTCGGCAGGCGTAACGCCTTCGTTGCCGCCTTTATCATTTTCTTCTCCTTCTCTCTTGGCTGCGGCTTCTCGCAGAACATGAACGCTCTGATTGCGTGCCGAGCACTCCAGGGCATCGGCGGGTCTGGTTTATTTTCGGTGACCATGATCATCTTCCCTGAGATGTGCCCGCCAAAGGCCCGGAATTACATAGCCCCCCTGATCGGAGCAGTAGTCTCAACCTCTGGCGTGCTCGGTCCTGTTCTCGGTGGTCTGTTCACTGCTTACACCACATGGAGATGGGTGTTCTGGATCAAGTGAGTTGCGCATCCATACTTGACTCAGTCCGTGGGCTTCTAATCCTGACTCGATTCCTAGTGGCCCCGTCGGATTCGTATCCATGGTTCTCTTCTATGTCTCGTGGCCGGACGCTGAGTACCTCCCTACCATTCATAAGCGTTCATGGAAGGACTTGGACTTCCCGGGGTCGCTTCTGGTTGTATCAGCCGCGGTCCTTATCGTCTTTGCCTTCCAAGACGCCGGGTATAGCCATGCGGAGAACCCTTGGGCGAGGGCAACTTTCATCGGGCCGCTGGTGGCTGGCTTAATCTGCTGGATCAGCCTTTTTGCATGGGAGGGCATCTTCGAGCACTTTTGGAGAAACAAGATGGCAGCGTTACCTCTTGTCCTGATCCGAAACCGCGTCTTTGCCGCTGTCATCTTGAACACCATATTCCTCGGTTTTGCTTACCTCTCCACACTCTACGCCGTACCGCTTCGCCTCCAGGTTGTCAATGGGAAGAGCCCAGTCATGGCTGGCGTCATGATGCTGCCAATGTTGGGTGGCACAGGGATCGGGAGCGCCGTCACCGGTGCCCTAAGCAAGAGGAAGAACCGGCTGTCCGAGACGATG